TCAGATTTCGGCTGCGGTGGATGATGACTCAACTATGATACTGCGGTGAGGCAGGCCCGGGCCGCACCAAAACATGGCGGGCGGTCGGACGTTGTGGGCGCGGGTACTTCCCTTCCGCACGGGCGCGCAACGTACCTTTGAATTCACAGAAATTCCAATGAACGGTGACAAAGGGAATTTTGACAATGAATTAAAAGAATTTGCTTCCGGTGAACGTCAATTTTTTTTCAGATTTGAGTAATTCCTGGGTGCGCCCTCTGCTCGCCTCCGCTCCGCGCCAGGTTAGGGTAGGCCCCAGGATGACACCGGAAAAATTGATGTGACATGTGTCACTTGACAAGTGTGACACTGTGTGACACCTTGGTATGTCGCATATGTGGTGTGACCGTATTTTTGGTCAAGTTTGCGGTGTGACCCTCTTATGTGTTCTGCTGCCTAAACCTTCTCAGCGGATGTTTGTCTCAATTGGTGTGACCAAAAGTCAGGCCACACTACATTGTGTGACCACAACTTGTCACACCGATTGATGTGACTAGATTTTCCAGTGTGTATGAGCATTAGCGCCGAGCCGACCTCCTCGGGACCGGGACCCGCTCCTCCGCGGCACAGCGGCCCACTCCCACGACCTCGCCCGACCCGGCCCCACCGTTTGGGAACTATTCATCAAAACGAATGTGGAGCATCGGGTCGACACCGCACGCGGCACCGCTATCCGGCGGGGGCTGGTGGGGGCTCCGGGCGACCGTCCCCAAACTGTGGTCTGCTGACGGACACGTGATGTTGGGCTTCCCGGTTACCCATCCGGAGATTTTGCGGGTCTTCATACAATCTCCATTTGGTCTTACGAATTTGTGGTCGTCCAACAACAATGATTTCGGTCTTCTGGCAACTTTCTATGTTTCCCGATAGGTTTTGGGCCTAAAAATTTCCTTGCGCTTCCTCGCATCTTTTCGGTCCTCCTAGTTTTTCTTGGTTATACTGGTGGTCTTCCTAGGTCTTCATGGTTTTTGGGCGGCCAGTACACGATCGCACCTTAAGGGTGGTTTAGCCCGTCGGCCGAGGAAGGTTTTCACGCCCTTGCTGCACTCCACCCTCTTGCCACTATAAATACAAGCGCACACCCATTTTTCTGTTTTCCTTGATTTTTCTATTTTTTTCGTTTCTTTCGGTTTTCTCCTCGAGTTTCCTTAATTTTTGTTGTTTTTTCGTTTTTTCTTATTTTCTTCGGAATTGGGGTGGGGGTGGGGGAGTGTTCAACTGATTTTTTTGAGTAAAGGGCACCTTGGTCCTGCCACAGGCGCCTCATGCACGCGCCGGGCCCGGATTAGCACGTCGTGCGGTGGGATTTGCAGAAAGAGATAATACCCGCGGCTCAGGCGCCGTCGCGCTCCTAAATCCCGGCCGCAGCGCCGCCCGCCCACGACGCCCCCAATGCACGACAAAGCCGCGCGCAAAAGTTAAACAAGACGCCGAGGCGCAAAGCAGGTCGGCCCTCAAAGTCGCGCAGTCGTCGCCCCCCGTCCCGACCCTCCCGAGCCCCACCCCGCCCCGCCCTGCCCCGCCTCGCGCGCCAGAGGCCTCGGTGGTCGCCCAGGAGGTGCTCGCGGAGATGAGCGCTCACGCTCACGGCGACAGCCAGTGTGACACCTCTTCACCAAACTATTGCGGTGAGACGAAACGTCTCCCGATGCACTGCCCGAGCGCCTGACGGGGCTGAGGTAGGCAACCCAGCACGTTGGCGGCACGGGTGCTCCCGGGTGGCCTACCCGCCAGGCGCCCCCGAGCGAGCTGCCGCCGCAAGGGGAGCAGAAGCAGCCCGCGCCGCTACCGGCCGCCCGAGGCGTGGCACGACACTCGCAGCGGCGAGGCCGGGAATGTCTATGGGCCAGGTCAGGGCCCAAACGGGGCAAGCACCGTTGTCGAGCACGCCGACAGACAGCGGGCGGTGCGATCATCCATCTTACTTATGCCTCCATGTGTGTGTGTTCGCAGGGACTGGAGTTCGCGTCCGGAGACCTGGGCGATGGCATAGTTCTTGCTGGTGAGTACGCGTTAGTCGGCGTTCGTCGAGGAGGAGAGTCACACAGCAGTGTGACAACCAGCCGGCCTGGGCTGGTGTCGAAGTGATGCCTGTCCGCGCGGCCGGGTCGCGATGCCCGCTTTGGAGCGGAGCCATGAGGATGCCGGTCGCCTGTTTGGGCCGGCCGCGTCGCCACGCGCTGCATAGTATTCACAAAACAGAGTTGTGGACAGGGAAGCAAAAGCTGAAAGGTTTGCGAGGGGCAAGTAAAGGCGAGCGGCGCCACTACAGTGTGTGCCCGCGCTAGTGTTGTTTGTTTACACGAAATTCTTCCTGGCCTGCGGCGGGCGCCAACTAACAGGGTGCCATCCACGCCAGCGAGGTGCGATGGCTGAGTAAACAGAGTGTTTACCTATGTAGACGGCCAGTGTCAACACTCGCCAGAGAAGATAAGGTCAACAATAATAATAAAATAGTAATTATGGTCCATCCCCCCACCCTCTCTCTCCAATGGGCCAGAGAACTTCTCGTTCACAGCACCAACGTTGTTGGGAATATTCCGATAACTGGAGAGAGATGGTTAGCTTGCCAGCTTTTCGCGATTCAATTTGCTTTTCCTCAATCCGATAACGCGCTTTCTTGTGCGCCACACCCAAGGATAACTCCGCGCCTGCCACGAGGACAAAGGGCCCTCGAGAAGTCATCGGGAAATCATGTCGGTAATCTCACTCGAGAGGCCGAGGCTACTGCCACACTGCGCGCGTGCGGGGTGTGCCATCGGTATCACACAGGCAAAAACGAGAGCGGGGAAGATATTCGAGATATTTAATGGTTCATATTTATTATTTGGGTATTCGTTTCTACAAAAGACCCAAAAGTCTCATTGTAGTACATCAGGATTGGGGTGAAAGGGATGGGAGGGAGGGAGAGATGGAGAGGGAGTGTGTGTGTGTGTGTATGTGTGTGTGTGAGAGAGAGAGAGAGAGAGAGAGAGAGAGAGAGAGAGAGAGAGAGAGAGAGAGAGAGAGATTATGGAAGATCTCGCTTGTTTTTGCCAGTCATATTATCAGACGTCACACATCACTTCTCCAACACTCAACGGCAGGGTAGACAGTTGTACTCGTAAAAACAATTTGTCTTAGACAATGTTTTTGCTGTTTATCAGAACGCACAGGCAATGTTATAGGATGATGCTAGAATAGTATATTGCTCTACTGTAACTGTATAATCTATGCTAACGAAACGCTGCAGCGAAGAGATTTTAATTGTGGCTACAAAAAGAACGATTCCCACGTCGTTGCCTGGGCGAGTAGGCCTCTCTGACGTCTGACGCGCGGGGTTCGCGGGGACCTCGGCGGGGACTGTAGCACCTGGAGCGGGCTGACCTGGCGGGGAACATTGGGGCCGGCGCTGGTTGTCCGCCTGTAGGCGCTTGTCGAGCGTCCCGCCGCCCGGATAGGAAGCCACCCACTCACCCTATCCTGGCGGGAGCTTCCAGCCTGCTGCAGAGCTGCCCCCCCCCCCCCAACCGTGTGCTGGGTGCCAACACAACAGTCACGTCCCTGTCGGCAGTGGTCGCGGTAGGTCCCCCCAGTTGGTTCCCCGCGCTTGCGGTATTTCTTTTGGCTGGTCTAACGCTGGTCGCTTGTGCTTGCGCGGCGCGCTGTGCGTTGTCTGCTTGCTTCCCCGAGGCGGGGGCGGCCGGGGCTGCGCCGCCTCCAGAGGTGTCCCTGGGGCGGCCGTGCGGTGCGGGCGCGTAGAGAGGACGCCGCGCAGGGCCGAGTCAGTCGTTGCCCCTGGCGGAGGCACACATCTTACGCGCGTCGCGAGCCGCGGCTGAAGGCGGCCATAAATCCTGCAATTATTATCGCAATGATGCAGTGGCTGGCTGCGCTGCCGCGCTCCCACCACCACCGCGCTCCGGGGACGCTGGTCCAGGCAGTCCAGGCGACGGCAGGCAGCCGCCACCGCTGGGCCGCCCGCCAACGAATCTATCGTGCTTCTTTTGCCTTGGACTCACTATCTTCACGACCCTGCTCCCTGCTTGATTGAAAGTCTCTCTTCCCCAACGCCCTCCACTGTCGGTGTAGTGGACTGGACAGTGCATCGGCCCTGCCCAAAAGACCCGCAACCACGTCGCCGCGCCCGGCCGCGCTGAGCCCAATCCAAACGACCCCGCCGTCCTTCCTGCCGCCGGCATCGGCTGGTCAGGACTGCTCCAGGCTGCTCAGGTCCGGAGCGCCCTTCTTCTTTTTCTCGCCTTTATGGTTTCCGTATTCTAGGAAGGCTCGCTGCCGACGCGGCGTGGCGCGGCGCCGCTCTGGCAGACCGGCCGAGACCGGCCGAGACCGGCTACGGGTGTGATGGCGGACACCTACTCCCACCGGCGGAGGGGTCAGGAGGGGGTTACAGAGGGGGGGGGGGCAAACGATCGGGGTGCAGAGCACGACGCGGAGCAGCACTGGAGGCGGCGCGAGTGCAAGGTTGTGTCAACGCATAGCAAATATATGAGGCGTTGTGGGCACGGGCGCGCCCAACCGGCGGCCGATGCTCGCTTGAAGTATAGCAGCGGCCGGCAGAGCCCAGGGAATGTGATGAACGCAGTCGAGTGCCGCGGGCCGGCCTTACCCAGCCTGGCTGGCTCACCCCCGCACCCCCAGCTGCCCCCCGAGCTGCCTCACCGAATGAGCCTGTCGCGCCACGCCGGGACGGCCGACGCCGCCGTTTAGGAGCGGTCCCTAGGAAGCGATACCGCTGGGTGCTGGACGGGCAGCGCAGCAGATAGGCTGCGGGTAAACAGCGGGGTGCGGCTCCACAACAGGGCCCTCTCAGCGGAAGCCCGAGCTTGGGTCACCTTATGGCTCTTCTCTTTGGAGCCGCGCGGACGCCAGCCGAAGACAACGGCGAGGCGATTAGGAGAGAAAGAGAACTACAACTCTCCCGGGAGAGCGCTTGGTGGCGCTCCCTCCCGAGTGCGGCCACAGTGCGAGGTGGAACACGATCAGCGAGGGCTCCTCGCCGTGCGATCTGGGTCTTTAGAATGGCCGTTTGAAGTGTTCTTCTCGGCGAGGTGCTCGAGCCCGGGCGGCTGCTCCGTAGTTAGTTAGGGGGGGGGGGGGCGGTTGCTGAGGTCAGAGATGGCGTACTTACGCGTATGACTGGAGCGGCGGTTAGGAGCTGGCCTCGCTGCTCCTTTGATTGGGCCGCGCTCGGTCTGGGCCGGCTCGCCCAGCGGGCGGGGCGGGGTGGGGCGGGAGGCGGGGGCCGCGGGCTGCCGATGTCGTGCAAACCTTTTATTTCGGCGACCAGTCCTCCCTCCCCGGGCCCCTCCGGTCCCGTGCGGCGTGCGTACCTTGCTCCTTCTCACTCACGGGTCTCACGCCGCTGCACAGCGACTGGACGTCCCACGTCCCACCCGACTGGTTGACGCCCCGGGGGTGACCCCCAGGGCGCTGATGGTCTCGCTGTGCTCGTCTGCGGCCAGCGCGGCGAGACGTTTAGGGAACTCATGTCGGCAATGTTGTCAGCCAAGCCAGCCAAGCTTGTCGTCGGAGGAAGCGACACTCTTAGCGTTTGAGTAAGGAAATAAAAGGAAGGTGTCGTATGCGATACGAGTCCACGCAGCCGACGGCGGTTGGGGAGAGCGACAAGGAAAAGATACTTTTTGACTCGATGCCAGGTTGAGAGGTGATTCCCCGCTGGGCAGGAAGAGGGGTGGGGACGGCGGCCGGCCGAGACACCTCGCAGTACAAGTGGCGGCGGGGGTCAGCCGGCACTGGTCGGGACCTTTATCGCTATCACTGGAAAAATAAAAAGGAAAGATATATGCACGTGTGGCATGCGTGTGTCTGAGGGGTACACTAAATAAAACCATTGTACATTCCCCCACAACATCAGAAAAATAAGAAAATATCAACAAGAAAAAACAGAAAAAATGGTGCTTGCTTGTAAAGGCCCCCTCGTGTGTGTCACTTATAAGGAAAACGTTTCCACACGCACTCTCAATACGTTAGTTGGTTTATTTCCTCCGGGTCGGGGCGTCGGTCCCGTGGCTTGCCAATAACACGCTGCGACATGCGCGTGAGCGCGACATCCGGATGCAGAGCGAGATGTGCAGGTCGTGGTTGTTGTTGTTGTCGCCGCGACCACGCGTGGCGCGAGTGGGGCGCGAGAGGGGCGGAGTGCAGAGGTGGTCTTCCTCCTCGCACTCCATCATGGCTCTGGCTGCCCCCACCTGACCCCGGGGGTGTCGCGCTCGGTCGCGCTGCCTACGTCCGGTGGAGCCGGGCGCAGCGGGCTCAGCAGCAGAGGCGATACAGTGGGGCGGCGGCCCGGGCGCCCTTGGTGTCTCGGAAGTGCGGGGCGCACCTCAAATGGATTGCGACATGAATTGCATTGGAGCCCACCGGCAGGGCGCCGTACTCTCTACGGCCCGCGCCCGCCCGGCTCTCCCCTCTCGCCTTGCGGTCGGGCCCCCGGTCATGACCCTCCTCGGCCAGGTGCAGCTCCCGCGTACAATGTAAACAGACAATTCGTACCTGGCCTGAATGACAGTTTGACAGTTGTTACAGTTGAA